GCCTTCTGAGTAGCTGGAATTACAGGCGCGTGCTACCACGCCCGGCTAATTTTTTTATTTTATTTGTAGAGATGAGGTCTCACCTGCCCAGGCGGGTCTCGAACCCGCAGGCTCGGCAATCCACTCACCTCAGCCTCCCAAAGGCGCGGGATTACAGGCTGAGCTACCGAGCCCGGCTTGATTTTTTTTTGAGTTGGAGTCTCACTCTGTTGCCCAGGCTGGAGTGCAGTGGCCGCTCCCGGCCACCGCAGCCTCAACCTGCTGGGCTCCGGTGATCCTTCTGCCTCAGCCTTCCAAGTAGCCTGAATTACAGGTGCGTGCTACCATGCCTGATTAATTTTTTTTTTAATTAAAAAGATTTTTTGGTTAAGTGCAGTGGTTCACACCAGTAATTACAGCATTTTGGGAGGCCAAGATGAGAGGATCACTTGAAGCCAGGAGTTCAAGACCAGCCTGAGCAACATCGTGAGACCCCATCTCTACTAAGAATAACCGGATGTGCTGGTACGTGCCTGTAGTCCCGGCTACTCGGGATTCTGCAGTGGGACGACAGTTCTTTGAGCCTAGCAGTTCAAAGTTGAAGTGAGCTATGATCATATCACTGTACTCCAGCCTGAATGACAAATGAGAGCCTGTCCCCCCTCAAAAAATCTTTTGGTTTTTTAAAGTCTGGAGTTACATCTGTATCTGCTAGCCTGATGGTCATTTAGTGATTGATCCTAAGTTACTCTAAAATACCTTGAGCCAGTAAAGCTTCCACCCTCTGTTTGTAGATCTTTGTATGTGTTGGGACGACTTTCAAAGCGCAGATATTTTAAGTCTACCTTAACTTTTACTTTCTACTGGACTCTCTGGTGTCTCCAGTATCTCCATCATGAATGTGTGATTTACCAATTCCCCTATAGTCTCATATCTGGATTTCCCTAAATTTTTGTCTGATCTCCTAGTCTGCTGCTTATACCAACTGTGACAGCAACTTCAGACAGACTGAGCCCTTGGTCGTGCTTGTTTGACATGAACAATGCAAACTGTTAATGGCACTGTCCATGGAGTGTGGGGTTTTTCTGTGCTCTGCTTCAAGTCAAGTCAGGCCCCTCTATCAGTGAAGCTTCTGGTTTTCATGGCTTTCCCCACCTTGGTAGAACTACCTTTCCCACTAACCTGGGGGTGTGTCATGGGAGTTGCCCAGGGAACAATGTCGGAGACTCCCACTGTTCTTGCCTCAAGTTCAGTAGTTTCCTGTGAATATCCACAGAGATGGTAACTTTTGAAAAAAGACCTCAAGGAGATGAGGAAGTATTCCATGTAGCTATCTAGGGGAAGAACATTTTTGGCAGAAGTACCACCTTCAGAACCCTAAGATGAGAACATATCTAGAATATAAAAGGGACAATAAAGAGGCAGTGTGGCTCGGAGGCCCTGAGGAGAGGATAGTGTGACATGAGCCATAGTTAGAGAGAGATTGAGAGCAGGGCAATAGGACAGATAAGACTGTTTAGGCTGCTTTGAAGACTTTGGCTTTCATTTCTAATGAAATGGGGAGCTGCTGGGGAGATTTGAGAAGCTGAGTTAGGTCATGATCTGTCTGTCTTATAATTTGAAAAGCAGTCATAGTGAAATAGAAGCCAAAGGATGGTAGGATAGAAGACTCAGAATGCCATTTAGGAGACTATTACAGTCCTGATCACAGCAGTGCAGGTGAGCAATGATTATGACTTAGACAAGGGTGGTGGCGGCCATGGGGGTGGTAAGAAGTGGTCCAGTTCTGGATGTATTTTAAGGGTGGAACAGATGGGATTTCTTTTGATGGACTAGAGGTGGTGAGGAGTAAACAGATCCAGATCTTTCTTTATTTCAAGGGAATTTGCCTGCATATTGTCTATGAATACTTTTTCTATTTCCTTTATTGAGTCCTTTAATTTTTGAGTCCCTGTATTGATTCCGTACCCTTAGATTGGGACATTTTTGGTTCTAATATTATCTTCTAATTGTTTTAATTTCTATTTTTTTTCTGAAGACTTTCCTTCATTCGATTTATTCTATTTTCATCTGTGTCTGTTCTGTTTCTTGCTATTTCTGACTTCTTATTGGATCTATAATGGTGATTTTTTTTTCAGCTTTTCTTTTTCAATCTGTTTTCTTCTCACTTTATTTTTGTCTTTTATTTTACAGCTTTTATTTTAGTGAATTCAAATTCTTATTTGAAGTATTCAAATAAATACTCAAGGGGCAATCTGCTTCTAGTTGTGGGGGTTATATAATTTTCCAGATTGGATTCTTTATTCTGTTACGTAGTAATTTATTCTCTCATTGTGTTTCTCTTTTGTTATAGGAAGTTTGATTGTTGCTATATCATTTTATTTACCTTCTCTATCTTGTGTGTGGATAACTCTGTGTACACGTTTTATTTGTAGCTACATAGTATAGATGAAATATACTTGATATATTACAAACTTACTTGGGACTTATCTCACCCACTCCTGCTCATCAACTGTGATTAGTTGTTGATTGTTGCTTTTATCCTCTTTTCTTTAAACTGAGTACATGAAGATCGAGAAGAATTTGCCATTGAAGAGTTCAGTTCTTTTTGGTAGATCTGAATTCTGCTGTTTTTTTCCCTAAACTCGCATTAAATATGCTTTATCAGGGATGTGTTTCATGTATTTTTGCTTGTTCTCCCAATTTGGCTCAATGTTCTGGAATATGGTAAGCCTCAGATGTTCATTCTGCTTTTCCTGAGGTTCCAGTGTGATTTGTAAAGGTTCTTGCTCTTTTTTGGGGGGGGAGGGAAGACAGGATCTTGCTCTGTAGTCCAGGCTGGAGTATAGTGGCGCACGATCATAGCTCACCACAACCTAGAACTCCTGAGCTCAAGCAATCCTCCTGCCTCAGCCTTGCTAGTAGCTGTGACTATAAGTGAGCACTACCTCATCTGGCTAATTTAAAAAATACATTTTTTGTGGAGTCGAGATCTCACCATATTGCCCTGGCTGATCTTAACTCCTGGGATTGAGCAATCCTCCCTCCTTGGCCTTCCAAAGTGTTGGGATTACAGGTGTGAGCTACCTTGCCCAGCTCCAATACTTATTCTTGATGAAATCTTTTTAAAAACATCCCCAGGATTACCTACTTAATCCTTCATACTCCTCTTTTCAAATTGGAAAGTTTTTTACATAAGGCACTTTCTTCCTTGCATTGCATTTTGTAAGATGCTTATCCTATCAGGAGTCCGGGTTTAAGAGTTCTGTAATTCTTAAGCCGGGCTCGGTGGCTCAGCCTGTAATCCCAGCGCTTTGGGAGGCTGAGGTGTGTGGATTGCCTGAGCCCGCGGGTT